AGGCAGTAAGTAATGCTCAAGCATATATATTCACACAAGTTAAACAATAAAGGTGCAATGTTAAAGATAAGTTGTTATTGTACGAATGACTCTATTCGTTAAATAAGTTAATAAAAGGGCTTGTAGAATTATGATCTACTATGATATTAGTACTGCTCTAATAATAGACCTAATCCTAAACTTGTCGATTTGCCATGATATAACTGCCTAATCTATAAGATCTTACGTGGAAGTCACACCATCGACTACACCAACTCACTGTATCGTATCAATTACCAATACATGATGAGGAAGAAGGTTAGGCTGGAGAAAGAACAATATATTTAATATGAATAGAGACCACGCCTGCATGGCCGAGCCATGCCACTCGATCAACTCCAGTCCATTCAATTCATTGTTCGCGCCTTCTCCATTGTTAGGTATTTCTCGGCGTTAAATATTGAATATTTATTTTCTGAGTAGTCTCGTGTTCACAGCTTTGTGGATTGTGTGGCTATTGTCCAATGCCACTACACTACTCTCCCACCAGAATCAACGTGATGTTGGTTCGATACCAAATTGGATGGGATCGTCGCGCACCGGAGGTTACCAAGGATAATAAGAATCCTCCGGGTATTGGTAAGCTGAAAGATAAATCAAAAAGAAAGCGGCAGCATCTGGTCGGGAAATACATGTAATAATTTTAAAATATCTGCCTTCATGCTTAAAACGCTTGAAATGAAAATTTGGGTGAAGATTATTTAAGCTATAAAAAATGAGATTATAATAATAATAAAACGATGCGTGTTAATAACTTAACTTATAGGTAGTAATTATTTTGTGTTTAGAAATATTAAAATAATGAATATTGTAGAAATGTTAATATTGGTATTAGTTTTGGTTTAAATTATGAAATCGGATAACGATTATGCCGGTATGTTGTCCATAAGAGTTGATTTCCAATTGCATCTGTATCAGTAGGCTAACTGAAGGAACAAAAGTATTACCATGGTAAAGAATTCCAACTAGTGTTCCAGTTAGTTTGATACGGTTTATTTAGTTACGGGGAGATTTTCTCAACCTCATTTTTACTTGACCGTGATAGAATTTGGTAATACTACTAATACACATGAATGGTTACCAAAATAAAATTTAAATACGTGAGTGATGATTATATGAATTTTGGACAGATAGCTAGGAACAAATCGTTAAACATGAGCGTATTCGTAAGAGACATGCTCTAGACTCAATGTTCTGATCTGTGGCAGACTATTTACTTGTATTTATACTTGCCGGCTGATTGGACATACAAGTTAGTTGCAAGGATGCAGTTTATCATAAGGCGGAACACGATTTAATTGAGATATAGTGGTTACAAGTTATTAAAATCAGTTAGACCTGTGTCATATTACGAAGTGATGTGGTGCTGCAAAATGTATTTAGCTAAATAAGCTTTTACAAGATGATTAACAGTGAGTGATGCTCATGTGAATATCAGGAAGAACACAAGTTGTAACCAAGGGGAGTACACTCCCAACTAATGTCTATGATAATGGCTTGAACCTTAGTCAGTGTTGGGGTAAATTCGACATTGATGTTTTCAGTTTGCAGGAGATTTGCTCGACTGCTTATACTGATTATTTGCATGCATGATTGTGTCGCTAAACCATCAATTAGACTGACAAGGTTTTGAGATATTTACTGAATGAGCAACTGATAGAGAAACATACTGTAATCATCTGTGATGGATGAAGATACCAAGAAAACAACACCATTTAATGGTAATTATAAGTCAATTTGTTGACCGATTTCGTTAATAGTTTCATTAATTTTATCAGTCATATTACGTGATTGTCAAGTTATGACAATGCTTTATGACGATATCCTGAAACTATTAAATTTAACTAGTTATAGTGTTGATTAAGGATTAGTCAGTGGAAAAATAGGTATTGTTGCTTTAGGTGATTCAAAATCATCAGAAATTTATAACGTTAAAGAATCCGAGACGCCTAATTTAACTATAAATTTCAATTCAGAAATATTCGTTTAGTGTTAATTCTAGTAGGCTACGGAGTTTTGATTTTAAACGTTTGTTTAGCCAACAGCTACTTGGGGATTTAGTTATTTCACTAGTGCAGTTGATAGTACCTAAATTTTTAATCTTATTATCTAAACTATGTTCGCATTTTAGGCTGCTAATATGATAAACCAATCCATAAACCCAAATACGATTAGCAACAACGACTATGATGGGTTTATTGATAAATGTTAAAGGCGATCCAGATGATTTCTAAATTTAGAAGACATGGAGATATAGTGTAACGTATGTATGGGCCAGGTTAACATGCAGGTTGTTGACGTATATGACGATTTAAAAATAATGAACATGACCAGATAAATAATTTTAAAGTTAAGACTGCTTGTGAAACTTCAGGCAGGAATATGATGCGTTATAAACCTTCCATAAGAAGTTACTGCATTTAGCCTAGGGACACTTACAAATATATAGCAAAAGGAACCGGAAAACATATACATGTTAAGTACAAAAAATCACTAAGTAAAATAGTTGAACTCGCCTGGGTTATTTTTGAAAATTAGATTATTCAGTGGACGACATATATAAAGCCATTCGTGAGGAGTAGTGATGATCCATAAGTATCCAGAATAAAACATTCAGTATGGCAATTAATTCCATGATGCTTGATGCTGTTGACGTTTTTGGGACTCGCTCTGATCAGAACAACTGAATGAATCCAGATAATTGTGTGTGCCATCTAAAATGAACTTATGATTGCAGAAAACTTATAGCTGAAACTCACCGTATGTTTTTGGAGAAGTCATCCTCGTTGTTTGGCAATGGAACTCGAGAATATGAAATTAGGCAGGCAGTGGTCGGAAGAAAAGATATTACAGGATAGTGCATCGTTTAAAACAGGATGAGGTGTTGAGTGAAGGAACACTGAGAATTAGATCCAGATAACTATTTAGTCCTTGATCGCATTGTTAGTCAATGTATATTTACGCTATTTACAGGTCATATTTGCTAGAGCTTGATGTTTAAACAAGACTATGTCGCTGAAGCATGTAAATGCTATCACAGCTTGTTAACAAATCATCAAAGCTAATTAGTTAATATAGACGACCAGTTTTTATTATCGATTGAGCTAGTTTGTCATGAGGACTAATCAATATAACATTACGATAATGCATGTGAGCATTAATCAGAGGACTATTAGAATACAGTGTTAACATAAATATAAAATCGATCGAGAAAGTTGAAGTGGAAATAAGGATTAATAATAATAGGTTGCGTTTTTCTAGTCGGGCTTACCAATGTAGAATTATGATCTACTATGATATTAGTACTGCTCTAATAATAGACCTAATCCTAAACTTGTCGATTTGTCATGATATAACTGCCTAATCTATAAGATCTTACGTGGAAGTCACACCATCGACTACACCAACTCACTGTATCGTATCAATTACCAATACATGATGAGGAAGAAGGTTAGGCTGGAGAAAGAACAATATATTTAATATGAATAGAGACCACGCCTGCATGGCCGAGCCATGCCACTCGATCAACTCCAGTCCATTCAATTCATTGTTCGCGCCTTCTCCATTGTTAGGTATTTCTCGGCGTTAAATATTGAATATTTATTTTCTGAGTAGTCTCGTGTTCACAGCTTTGTGGATTGTGTGGCTATTGTCCAATGCCACTACAGGCTTAACCGAATTAATTGTGAACAAATGCGATTGCACGTGAGCTGCCATATAACCATCTTTATTCCTAAGTTAGCAATAAATCTTGATCGTTGACGGCACTGGATGTATAAGTCCTAAAACCAATACAGATAAAAGCCGTTCCATGTTACGTTCAACACTGTGTGTACGGACGAGACGAGGTTACAAGTTTACCTCACTTTCTACTCGTTACGTATAGAATTATGAAGAGAGATCGCTAAACGGAATCTCCTGCAAAGCGTAGAATCATCAAGAGATCAAGTCATAGAGTGGTGTACGCTATTTGCGTCGAGAGATATAAGTAGTGAGCAGCAACAACCAGAAGAGTAGTTCAATAAAGCAGAAGGCTATGAAGGTCGACTTGAAGAATACAGAAATGGAAATAAGAAACAGTCGTGATATAGAAGAATCATGCAGAATTTGAGGAACAAACGATGAAATTTTGCAGATGGAGTATGTAATGTATAGTCCTCGCATTTAGCTAGAAGATTCTGCACTTTTGTATTAAAATATAATTGCCGTCTCTGCCTGAGTGTTTGTTAATTACAGGCAAACAGCTCATTTCAAGTGTCAAATATGTCACGGAGACTGTCACAGAATGATAATGAATAACATAGAATGGAGTAAGTCACAACAACAGCCAAATAAAGATCCGGGAGCAGGTCAAGGTGATCCAGAAAATCCGGGAAGTTATGTTAGTAACGCCGAAAATTTGTTGCTAAATAACCAAGTGCAGTAAGCCATGCACTCAGGTTATAGAAATTCCCAGGTTGTTGCAAACACCGAACTGTAGGTAGGAATGACAAAAGTTAACCGTTAATTTTGACACGCACTTTCTAGGTTATATAAGTGTGGCTCTAAGTGTCATTTCTAACGACTAGATGAAACAAGGGCAACAAATTTCCTTGATAATGCATCAAGTTGCTGATGAAATAAAAATCGCAACATCCATTAAAGAAACTAAATGGAGCGTTTGGAGCATAGAGGACAATTTTCTTGGTTTTTCAATGGAGAGGACTTAGATCCAACATTACTTGGATGGAAATTATTATCTCTATTTGAAATGAAAAGTATTATGGTCTCGAATATTGTCTCATTTTGCATTCACTTATATAAATTGTTTCATACTGGTGGTTTCTGTTGATAATGTCACAACTTAATCGCGGTTATAACACTTTCCATCTTCAGTATTCGACTGTGCTACAACTATACGTTTTGGCGGGAACTCTCAGGGTCACACTTGGTTCGCTTTCAAGCAGTCTCATTTTTGAAATATGACTGCGGAGGTGGAGATTAATCCGTTTAGACCTGGTGGTGAACTTTCAAAGGAAGTGGATGATATCTTGAAAAACTCTACAATTTCGAGGGATACGGTAAGTTATCTATTTATGTTTCTGCATAGGTGTAAACGCACCTATGAAATCTGCAACTAGTCGTTCGAGTGGTTGTTTTATGTAAAGTTATGTAATAAACTCAATATGTGTAAACTCTGCTTCTAGTACACTTAGGCTTTTATATCCTGACTAGAGTTTAAAGGTCTTCGAGACGTCCAGATCTATCTATGGTTGTACAAACGTTTTTGTAACAATAATGTAGTAATTGTAAATACTGACGACAAGATTTCTGCTAAACTTAGCACTCAAGGGGTTTTTTGGTATTATTTTGTGGAGTTTTTGCTGCATTTAACAGTGATTAATCTGTCCGATCTGCATAATGAGTTTTTTATTTCTAAAGGTGTAACTAGCTGGCCAAGTACTTTTCATATGCAGTAATCCATTTTATATTGCAAAGCGTTCATATCCTTCAAGTTCTAACAAATATTTAGGGGAATAAACAGGATCTTATCAGTCTGAAAAATCTGTACGTAATTGAAATGAGATACTGGCTGTTTGGTGCTTCTGATTAATATCAGCATGAGTTTGTGGAGATCTTAGAAATTCCACAGATTGAAGTCATGAGTCGATTGAAGCGCAACTTTGTGGATTGGTTGAAGTTAGTCACTAACACCATTGGGTGCCGGCTCAGTGGTCTAGTTGGTTAAGCGCTTAGCGCGAAACTGATAGGTCCTGGGTCTGAATCTCGCGGGGTGCGGGGCCGTGAATGCGCACTGCTGAAGAGTCCCATACTTAGACGGAACGGCCGTTCAGTGCTTCCAGGTTTTCCATGTTGGTCTAGCTTCAATTGACTCATGATTTCAATCTGTGAAGCTTCTGATTAAGTTCACTCGAAATTCTCTTGCAATTTATTTACCCTCTTCTTTGTTTGTAGTAGTACAGTTGTCTGTCGAGTAAAATCCCAACGCCACAGATTTGCAAACAGCTCTAATTACTATGGACTGACCTACAATATCGCTTGAAGGTCAAGAATTATATATGTCCGTAACTTGTGAAGGCTAACTAAATCGTAAAACTAGGTGAAGTAACCTACATTTTAGGCGACTCTATTAAGTAGTCGAACTGTTCGTCAGTTCAGATCGACTATATGGTGACATTTTATGTTCGAAACTAAGAGAATTCCCACAAATAGTCATTTGCTTTTGTTCAAGTCTTCATAAGATCCTTTTTGCTTTTCCTAAAATTTCAGTCGCCTTCAATGGTAGCCCACAATCATTGTTTTTCAGTTACAAGTTTCTTATCTTCTTGGGATTTAACTTAGCCGTTTCTGTTTAAGGATTATTGTCTAAATTTAAAATACCTACTTTAGTTTAACACTCGACATATTGTTTCCCAACAAATAGTGACTCAGTTAATGTATTGAAATAGACCGCGACGGAATACATCCTTGTTTTCTAATCTCGTTAAGAGTAACTTTTAGTCTTCCTATCACTAGTTTAAACTCATATTTTAAATACAGTGACTTGGTAATGCTTCGAATGTGTGCTATTTGAAAAAGCAACATCCAAACTATGCGAGATCCATTTTTGAGAATAGCTACTGTCTAATCAACCTGAGCGTTACTAAGATGATACATAATGCATTAGTCGTTTGTGTCCGTACTGTATATAAAATGTCCCTATTAATCCGAGCTATAAAAAAGTATTGGTTTGGGCAGTTCATTTACTATGTAATTCTGGACATACTTCTAAATGACATTTTGTGTATAAAGGTTAGTGGTCCTAACTAGCTGACCAAACTAAAATAGTTTGGCCTTATTGTTTAGTGTTAGGGGTCTTAAGTATCTATAATTAATTCACTAATAAGCTACAAGCTAAAAACTCGCTCTGCCCATTTCGGTCTGAACAGGTCAGTAAGACCACTAGCTTCTACAAAACGTCACGAGGCTATATATACGAGTTTACGAAATCGCAATTTAAGATTATAGTGTTGTCTCAATTCCGTAGATTTGCTCCTACCTCTTTTTTCAGATAATTATCAATGATCCAGCGTTGCGCCGCGCCAACGGAAATGCGACATCTGTTGACGGGATTATATCCAATAATGTTCACACAAAATGTGCTGAATCACCTTTCAAATCCCAAACGTCCAATGGTCTCAGTGTTACCGATCGTTCTCCACATCCACCTGGTCTAGTAACGTGCGAGGTGGTATCTCAACATATACAGCCACTTCAAAGTCCGACATTTCAATCTAGCCAAGTTGAACATGTCAATATAAAGAGCAGTAGGAAACCTACTAAGTGTTGTGTACTTCAGTGAAGCTAATAAACTTAAATAAAATCTGTGAGTTTGCCACGAATTTTTATATCTACAAACTTTTCTTTTGATTGCAACTGTGGAGTATACTTAGGAAATTCAATGTTCATTCTATACTATTAGTATTTTTTTGTATTTGTGGGCGAATTGCTCCAGGAAGAAATTCGAAAGCGGTAACTTGAGTAGATATGTGCTAACGGATTGATGGTACCATAAAGTGTATGAACCATCACCAGGTTTTCATTTCCGATCCCGTTTCATATATCTTGGTTTGAAAAGATAGAACATGCATAAAGATATGTTGTTTGGCAACAATTATAAGATCTCATCTGTTCTTTATTTTCGTAGACTGACGAAGTTTGATTTATGTCATGATCTATTTTACATGAACTACATTTAACCATTTAAAGTAATATATGTATAATAGTTGATTAGATTACACAGAACACTTGATTGGATAAAATTCTCAAATCTGCTGACATCATATGAAAAGAATTCAAATATATGGAGAATAAACTAAGTATTTAAAATGAAGAACCTGTTTCTGTCCAAATAAATAAAATGAAATCTAGCCAAACACCACAACTGTTCTTGAATGTGGTTGCTTATTGGGTAAATCAATGAAATTCTAACCTTAGGATCACACTTTCAAAACACTTCTCGTCGATTGTAGCAGCTTCTTAATACTCACAAAGGTATGGCTAGTATCGGAATGCGCAAACACGTACTTGATCACTGATTTAAATCTAATTGTCACATTTTAATAATAGGAATAATTAAAATGGGTATAATAATTAAGTATAATATGAAATTTAATTGCCTCTTGTTATGCGCCATAAATCCAGGCCTACCAATTTTTCTCTTGCTACAATGACCCATAAAACTCGAATTCTTTTCTCTTACAACTGAAACCAATAACCATTGATTTCATAGATTAGTACTATGTCTTGTGAATTCACTTGAACGTCACCCTATAATAGTATTTTTTCACATTTTTCACGTAGATAGATGATCCTCGGACTTACGTAGAACATGCTTCGAATACCTGAATCAATAAAAATATTGAAACTTAATCATCTAAAAGCAACAATTAAGTTCATACTACTGTATCAGACTTTAAATTATGTATTGTAATGCAATAATTACCAAGGTGTACAACACTGAGTATTCACCGATTTTTTGATGTTCCTTTTCCTACCAATTTTTATTTGATGTGGATCTCATAATATCTTAAGCTCAGTGTTTTCCCTACAAACAATAACTTCATTTCCAAATATATACTCTGTTAATTAGTCAGTGTTTCTGTCTTTAATAACCATTCATGAGGAAATTGGGCCTCGGTCACATCGTCAAATTATCGATTTGTTAAGTTTGGTCACTCCAATATTTTATCAATATGTTGTGCAGTAATAACAACTACAGTGGCCCAAATATACCATAATGAATGTAATACATGTTTCGTTCGTTTTTATGGTTTCATATTATAACGAGTGAGTTAAACTAGATCGTACTGCTCTTATTTTATCTTTTATTTTAGATCCCGTTGACAATCTGATGAAATAATTTGCCGAAAATACGCCACTGTATGCTATTCACCACAGTCATACTTCCACCTTCACAAGCTTAGTGTTTTAATAGGTGTTTTCAGATGACATAGCATGTCTAATCTATTTAAAAAATACGTAAAATCATATGCGTACACAGTCTTCCCGTTTGAATTTTTATCTTTTTTTTCCAACAACTTAATAAAAACAAACTTTAAATTGTCCGGTTTTCACATATTACACCAAATTACATTTTATTTTACCTACTTTCTCAAACTTTGGAAATTTTAGATGAACACCTGAAAGATTATTTCCGCGTCCTCCGTTATATGCTGCTAACGTGACTTTTATGTTTACAAAAACTAAATCTAATTCATTCATTACGATTGAACACTAACGGGGACTCTGAAAATCAGGACCTTTCTTCAAGTGCAATTTCTTATGACATAGGTGTATTCACATAAATAATACGTAAAAAGCATTTCATTTTATTGCTCTTTGCCTGCAGTTCTGTTTGGTCAATTTCTTTTTGTTTACTTTACTACTTTAGATTTAAAAAAGATTGTTTGTTTTAGATAATACATCACTTCCTTGCTTTGGTTTTTTCCATACAGTTTAAGTACTAAGTGTGATGCTTCAATTTTGTCAACTGTATTCGGTTTCACCTCGTCCATCGTGATATATATATATATATCATATGGGGTTGTGTCTCTTTCATTTCCATGTTGTTGGACACGCATTTCTGCGCACGGAAGACTAACAGATTTCCTCTCCTTTCCATATTCCAATTTGATAGTTGGAAGATGTTCTCTCTGCGTTGTTTTACTCCTATATTCTCAAGTAACTTATGCACATCTATCTTCTAATGCCTCTCCTTTTTCTGTACCATTTGTACAATTTCTCTGTTCTGTTGATCATTATATATGTTGGAATCTATCCTCAGCTACCATTTTTATTCCATTTTAAACACCTTTAATATTGTTTCTTTGTATTTCAGCCGCTTTGTTTCTTTTCTTGATTTTTAATTCCATCTGCTTCAAATAAAATTGATTTGAAAATTACTATAATATTTAGTTTTTCTTGAGTTCACTTTTTTCATTCTTTCATGAATTGGTTCTCAAATCGTGGCGTCTAATTTGGTTTGAGCATTTGCTCATCATTACCAACCCTCGGACGCATCCAACTTAAAGTCAAATACACAAATCTGTATTTGGTTTTTGATTGTCCTTACCATTGTTTTTTTACAAAAAGTCAAAAATAAGTCTCATCACGCATTTTGTTTGCAGTCACACATTTGAAAAATAAGCTGCAAGAATGAAATGCATATGATTTCATAAATGTTTGCTTTGTCCATGAGGCCTAACCCAAGATTTGTATGCCCCTCAGCAAACACCAATTCAAACTATTTAAGGGAGATAGGATAGTAAACATTTAAGTTCACTCGGCACAATTTTGGCTCTGGTTCTATCACGCATCGTCTTGACGTTGTATCCATAAGGTAATAGGCTATTAGGTTACTAAGATAATAATTCTCCTTATGTACAGTTAAAAATCTGTCTGGAGTACCCATTTTTCGTTTCTATATATTTTCTCTGTAATGCACTTGAGAATAGCCGTGTTACGGTTAGTAATAACGAGTGGTAGTGTGTTGTCTTGTATTCATTCCATTTCTCATCTGTCTGCAATTTTTTTATCCAGCACATTACGTTCGAAGCCTTACCTTAAGACTATTCGGTTCTCACAGCTGTATTTTGCTCTCTGTCCTTTATCAGTGCGATGACGATGGGATGCCAATCACTAACATCCATCGACGTCTTGGACAGTGGGCAGAATTTTTCGAAGGGCAGTTCAACTGGCCTGCTGCTCCGGCAACATCGGTCAGACCGTCCTGCCCTCCATGGCCGGTGACGACTGATCCACCAAACGAGGAGGAAGTCCGCAAGGAACTCCAACTCTTGAAGCGTTACAAATCACCTGGCCCAGATGACTTACCTCCGGCTCTTTTTAAAGATGGTGGTGACTTTTTGACTAAGGAATTGACGACGTTGTTTACAAAGGTTTGGGAACTAGGGAGTGTACCAACGTCATGAAATGAGTCGATAGTTGTCCCTATCTTTGAAAAGGGTTCACGTCGTTCCTGTAACAACTATCGGGGGATAAGTCTACTTTCAATTGCGTCCAAGCTATTGGCTCCCGTCATACTTCGTAGGTTGTTCAAAACCCGAGAAAGATTGACTCGCGAGAAGCAGGCTGGGTTTCGTTCTGGTCGAGGATGTATTGATCATATATTCACCCTCCGCCAAATGTTAGAACACCGCCATACTTTTCAAAGGCCAACAATCGTAGTGTATCTTGACATCAGGGCTGCCTTCGATTCGTTGGACAGGGCTGTTCTCTGGGATTGTCTATTGAAGAAGGGTGTGCCTGAGAAGTTTATTACCATCCTAAAAGCCCTATATAAAAACACCTCAGGCAGAGTGAGGGCATACAACCACCTCTCTCCATTGTTCCATTCGAGCAGTGGGGTTAGGCAGGGTTGCCCAATCTCACCATTCCTCTTCAACTTTGCCATCGATGACATTCTGGAAACAGCTCTGATGAATGTAAGTAATGGTGGTGTGGATCTGTTGCCTGGAGAAAGACTTCTCGACCTTGAGTATGCGGACGATATTGTCTTACTGTGCGATAATGCCCAAGGCATGCAATCCGCACTTAATCAGTTGGCAATCAGTGTCCGTAGGTATGGTATGTGCTTTGCACCTTCGAAATGCAAAGTACTCCTACAAGACTGGCAGGATTCCAATCCTGTACTCACCCTGGATGGTGAGCTGATAGACGTAGTCGAGAAGTTCGTGTATGTGGGTAGCTGCATAAGTGCTGGTGGGGGTGTGAGTGATGAGATCAATGCACGTATAGTGAAAGCCAGAGCGGCTTATGCCAATCTGGGCCACCTTTGGCGCCTTCGTGATGTTAGTCTGGCTGTAAAAGGTCGGATCTACAACGCGTCGGTGAGAGCAGTTTTGCTCTATGCTTGTGAAACCTGGTCTCTCCGAGTTGAGGACGTTAGAAGACTCTCTGTGTTCGATCATCGCTGTCTCTGAAGGATTGCTGACATTCAGTGGCAACACCATGTCAGTAATGCAGAGGTTCGGCATCGTGTGTTCGGGCACAGAGATGATAATTCAATTGGTGTCACCATCTTGAAACACCGACTTCGGTGGCTTGGACATGTTCTCCGAATGTCGTCCCAGAGAATTCCACGCCGTGCATTATTTGCCGACTCTGGGACTGGTTGGAAGAAGCGGAGAGGTGGTCAGTGCATGACATGGTGTCGTGGCATGAAAGAAAGCTGCAAAGGACTGGCTTGTGTTGGTCCTTCACGACTCCCTGGTTGGGGTCTGAGAGATGGTGCTACACAGTGGCTAGAGACGTTATCAGATATGGCTCAGAATAGAAGCCAGTGGCGATCCTGCTGTAACCTTCTTTTACTTTCTTCATAAAAAGTGGTTGTGTCTCCCTTACCTGAAAGATTTCTTCCGATTGTACCTTTGCGTTCCCTGATTACTAGCACATTACCTTACACCAATCTCTTCGTTATTGTTCTCTCTTTTTTTTGTTACGCTCCTTAGCTTTTTTTTCTTTCTTTGTATTCCTCTCGAATTTTCATTGTTTTGTGTGGCGCATATATATTGGCGCTCTCCTGTACCAATATTCATGTGTTCAAATAAATAAATCAGTGCGATACTTCCGAAAGAATTTTCATGGATATCCATTATATCATGAACCTTTTCTAGTCATTTTGAGTTAGAAATGCAGTTTATGTTCTTTGATAGGACGTTATGATTGAACACTATGCTATATAACTCTTTCTTTGTTACGATAAACTACTCAAGTGGTATTGTGGATAAAATACATTCTGATTGCTAGAAATACTGATTGGTACTAGCTAGAAATAATTTGAGGACCTAAAGTGGATTTTAACGTCGGATTTGTTACTATCTCACTTTTGTACGATATATTAATTGGCTATTACTGCAATTACACCAAAGCTTGAGACAGCCATATGAAAACGTGACACCAATCCATGCAGTCATTGACAATTAAGCTGGATCGTGTTGATAGATCTGGCTGGGGTCCGCGTGATTAGCCCAACGAATATTTGGAAACAGTGAATTTTCATGAGTCTCGAAGTCTCCCTATGCGTGTCCCCATTTTGTTCATTTAATTTCTTTACTACTTCTACTCTGGGACTAGTCTTGGAATAATTTTATCTCACTGCTAATATGGTGTGGGAAATTGAACTGATCCACATATTTCAGGTTCTACTTTGAGTATAGCAACTCACCAAACTATAATAATGAGATTACACTCTATACCAGCTACCAGATGATGTATGAAAAGCAACATTTTTCTGAAATTTCTCGTGTAGTCACCATGGCTCTTCAAACTAATCATTGGTTATTTTTAAGTTTCGGAAAGGTGTAGCTATTCATCGGGAAAACTGATACGAAAAACAGGCCAGAATGTTGCATTCTTTCAGTCTAGTTTGTCAGTAGAAGTCGCCAGCTGTTATAGCTAACGAAAGTAAACTATTATAGCATATTGTCGTCCCATCTTTCCTGAACAATGTCTGTTATGCATCAGTAGTATTGTCGCAACCTTCTGAAGCCGAACAATTATTTTGCGAGTTGATTACCAATCATGTTAGATGTAATATAATGATAAAGCTAGTAGTTTTTCACCAGTTTAAATTAGCTGTGACAAAATCAAGAACTAGCTATTCGCTTGTGATAAAATGCTATCTTCATAAGGTCTGCAAAAGCAAACATCCACTACTATGTCAGTATAGGGTTTTCAAGATTGAGTCCTACTGAAATCATGAAACGATCAGTGTTAAGCCACCATTAAAAATCTTGAAGCACTGGACTACCGTCTCATTCTAGTTTAGGGCTCGTCAACCATGCGCGACCATCCAGTGCTTCCAGGTTTTCAATGGTGGCCTAACATTGATTGGTTCTT